AGTACTCGTACTAGTACTAGTACAACAACTACTACTACTACTACTACTACTATTACTACTACTACTACTAATACTACTAGTACTACTACTACTACTACTACTACTACTACTACTGCTGCTACCGCTACTGCTACTGCTGCCACTACTCCTACTACTCCTACTGCTGCTACTACTGCTTCTACTGCTACTGCTACTGCTACCGCTACTGCTACTGCTGCTGCTGCTACTACTACTACTACTACTACTACTACTACTACTGCTACTGCTACTACTACTACTTACTACTACTACTACTACTGCTACCACCTCACCGGAGGCGGGGATCGCGTGGGACTCCTTCACCTACTTCGCCCTGATCAGATCTGTCTGTGCTGCCGGACAGGCGCGCACGACTGCTTCTATCGGGCTTGGGAAGGCTTAGGATCTTTAAGGCTTTTTCTGGCTGCTATAACCTACACACCTTCGAGCTTACGGCTCATCGTCAACCAGCAGTCTGATGCTTCGTAAGACAAGGCGAGAGCAGAACGGCGGCCGAATAAGTGTCTCTTTCAACACGCGTTTCGCTGTCCAGCTTAAGCTCTGGTGGCCAAAGCAGCGGAGGATATCAGATTTTAGGATTCTGAGCTGATCGTTCATGAACAAATAGTGCATTTCACAAGAACGATGGAGCGCATCAGCCTGAGAGTGTGTTGTGTGTGTGTGTGTGAGTGTGAGTGTGTGTTACGTGTGTGTGTATATACATATATATATATACACAGTAGCACATCATATACGCATGCATACGTACATGTGTGTGTATACGCCTGTATAATCACTGTAGATTACTGTACATGTGATGCATGATCTTTTGAAAGTGTGAGTCCACGGTCTCTCTCTCTCTCTTCTCTCTCTCCGTGTCCCTCTCTGTCTCTCTCTCTCTCTCTGTGAAACTTTCTTGGGAGCTGGCGTTCCGAGCCTGGGTGTGCGCAGGTTGAGCTCGCCATGAAGTTGCTGACGCGGATGCGGCAGGAGGGGGTATGAAGATCTGCTTCCTCTATCCGGTCCTGGACGGATTCAGCCATATTGGATGTCCCTGTCACTCCAATTATCGGAGGCTGTGACTGAAGAGCACCTAGCCAGACACATCCCAAAATAGCTTCGGCGGGTATAAGAGAAATACTACTCGTTCGTCCATGCGAGAGTCTGCGCAGGCCATCAATTCGGCAAACGGCAACACATCCAAGTTACACTTGTGATATATGGTGCTCAGGCTGAAGCTCCTGCCTGGAGCGGGTAGAGTCTGAGCGCTCGAGTTGAAACTCTCCATCTAGACCCCCGGCACGAGACAGGACGGAATCCGACCCGGGGCGCCGCACTACACGTGCTTCGGCCGGACATAGGTTTTTGGTAGTCGTTCTCTTGACATCATGCTGAAGCACCTGGTGTTCGGTGAGTTACTTCGTTGTTGAGGCTTCGTCACCAGTATCATGCTGGCATTTTCCTTTTTTGTCAAAGCAAAAACACTGAACACACGCTGAGTCATAGTTCATGCAGCCGCAACGAGAGCTCAGGCCAATGCAACCTTCTTCAAAAGCGGCATTGGTTCTCGTTGCTTGTTTGTTGTGTTTTCCTGATTTTGTGCACCGAGCGCTCTTGAGAAACGGCAGCAAGTGTTGTTGTCGTCGCTGACACGCTGGTATTGCTCGCCTTTGCCATTGTGGTGTTTTAGGTCGTTGTGTTCGTTTCTTGTTACTGCTTGCTGCTAGTTGTTTGCCGTGAGTTAATGCTGATGCTTTTCCTGCTACCGTGGTCGTCGTCGGGTCTTCCCACCTCTACTCACTCCTCGACACTCCGAATGTTTGGGCCTTTGCTTACAGGCTCACACGTGGTGTGGTGTAACACTCCACCAAGACTCACTGTCCAACGGCTTCTTACGGGAGAACCATCGAATCAACCCTTCAACATCCGACCTCTCATCGTGACACAGTCAGAAGGAAACCCCATATACAAAATCTATGGCACCAACCAGTCCTCCCAACCTACCCCTAGGTGTACATTTATTGGCCTGGCCGCAGCAGGTGCTTTAGGGTTCAGGGCAATGACGGGTTTGGGCGAATTGTGGGAATTGCTCGCGGCTCCTGTGTTTGGCTGGCAGGTCTTCGGATTTGCTCATGTTGGGTATTTCGACGCAGCTAGTTAGCTTGGACGTTTCAGGCCATGCAGGGCCATACAGCACGGGGAGCAGGGGGGCTCGAGCAAAGGCAGGCTTCCAAGTTGACCGATATGCACAGCATGGGCAGCAGTGACTATGCCCTGTTAATTAACCACAGTTCCATCTTGAAGCATTGGCAAGCCCTGGTTGCAACACTGTCGGAACTTGGTATCATGCGGGAGTTGGGCGGCTGCAACGGTAACATCGGCCAGAATGTACGGATTTATCAGAATCAGCTCGTCGGCGGCGGACGGAAGCTGTCCCGTGGAAGCCAGGAGCACTAACCAGGCTCTAGACTCCAGTCTACAATTGTGTGGAGACCCCCAGAGCTTCCAAGCCTGACTTTGCAGAGTCGGGGGAACACGAGCAAGGAAATGCAAGGAAGCCCTTCCGAGCCTACACTCCCACAGACTACTACGAAGATGCCACCCGCGTCTTCCAGCGCCTGGTCGACGTCGGAGGAGCACGGAGCCAGCTGCTGAACTGAATTTGTCTGGTAGGGCCGGTAGGGGCAGTAGCTCCAGACAAGTGATGTGGGACGCGAGTAGGGTGGACGGGCTCAGGTTCTGACACTTTTCGCCTGACTCTTACAGCTTTAGTAGGGAGTGAGACTGTTGATCATTGTCGATGCCTCGCCAAGTAGGTCAGTAGGTCCCGACTCACAGGTTCTTAGACCGAAATCACCCGGAATCCGAAGCCCTCAACGCAAATGGGTCTGAAAAACCTGCACAAAATCAACGCGCAGCCTGAGCATGAACATCTAAGGTTCCCGTGCAAGCCTCAGCAAAGAGCGGCAGGTTGTTTCGTTGCCGCCAGCTGCCCCACAGCGCATGAGACAAGAACCCCCTTCTGGCCCAAAACAAGATGGGTTTTCAGGTACAACATGATGATGGCCATTCACAGCCGGCGCGGTGACATGGAGGCCGCTGAAGAAGTCTTGGTGCGCCAGCTGCACAAGTTGCAGTGGACGGGTGCTGGGGACAGCTCCTGCCGTCTGCAGTGGTGCACCGCCATACTGAAACGCAGATGAAACCATTGCCGTCGACCTACAGTAGAGAAGGGTTTCACTCGGACTTCAAGCAACGCCTGCACTTCACTGAAACGCTGTCGAGACACTCCCTCACGCAAGCGGGACGGGGACTTTTTCCGTTGGCCGAGGAAGAGATGACAGAAGCCGGTTGGCCCGCAGACGTGTGTCCCGGATTGCGAGTCAAGTCTTCAGGGATTGCGTCCATGCGCTTAGCGTCGAAATTGCTACAGGCAGCTCAGCAGCATCTGTCATGATTGTTGTCGGACCGAGGACGACCTACCAAATCCTTGTACAAGGCTATGTCGTTGCTCGGCACAGGGTGTGGAGGTTCGGGGAGCTCCTGCCGAGCTCTGGCTTGCTCTTTCCCTGGATAGCCTAATAGCTCGCAATCCTTGCGACAGGGGAATAAAATCAGTATCGTAGATGCTGATAAATACTAGACCGATGAACTTGGCCCCATCACGGCCGCGGGCAAAGGCAGGCAAAGGCAAAAACGATGGCAGGGGGTTGAATGCAGTGTGTTCCATTCCAAGAGGGTTTGTTGCAAACCGCAGCCCTGCAGCTTCTGCAAAGATGTACCATAAGACGAGGCTGCTTGCGACTGGCCTGCAGCGCTGGCGCTGGAAGAAAAGGCTGGGAGGAGAGTTGTCAGAGATGTGAGCTTGAAGGCATGTGAGAAGGCCCTCTCCCAAAGACACAGCCTCTTTGCTGCTAACCTGCTGGAACATCATGTCCCCGATGCGGTTTCGCTTCACTTGTCTCTTCTCGGAGGTCGCTGATCTGCGACGTGGCCTCGTTCGAATACGGGAGGTGCGGGTGTAGCCCGGGAGAACCTGTCAGACGTCCTGTTTCCATCACAGGCTCTCATTGCAGCAACTGGCATCACACCATATCACACCTCTCTATTTCTACTGACTCCATTCACAACCTTGCTCGTGCAGGATGCCGGCGTTACCCAGGCTGCAACTCGCCAGATCCGATTTCCACAGCTGGGGATTTGCTTTTGCGCAGCCAACACCGTGTTACTAGGTTACGGGCCTTGTAAGCATTTGTTTTGGCAGCAGGCATTCGGCAGAGGGCCATATGCCATATGGCTTGTGCACGTAGGGCGTAGGGGTGCTGTGACCCAGCTGTTCATGCAGTTGGCGGCTGGCAAGTGGCAATTCAAGCAGCCGTTTTCCGAAGCAGCGATAGAAGAAAGAACCGAATTGAAGCCGCCCATGGCGAACCCTTCAATCCTGTGCATGAAGTTGGGTTTCCTTGCAGCATGCAGGCCAGGCCAGGCTGGCCTGTCCTGGCACGCCGGTTTGAGGGTTGCGAAGCTCAGGCACAAGAGGCCGCCAATGGGCAGCTGCAGCAGAAGCGGGTGTGGACAAAGGCCAGGAAGAGGACAACGACAGCAACCACGACAGCTGCAACACAAACAAGTCAGCTTGATCTTATGTAAGGGAAATGGTTGGGCAGTGCATGACCGAACCGATCAGTCACAGTCGTCCGGTTTTGGAGTGCGGGCTCTGGCGGTACTATGTTTGGGTTCGAGCTTTGCCGATTTCCCAATTTTGTCAGCATGTGGTTGACGGGCCGGTAGGTGTCGTTTTGCGCTTAATCCGTCCCCCGTGAGCCTTCAACCGTGGCTCTACTCACTACGTTGCTGAAGTCCTGAAAATTGCAGCCAGAAGTGGCTTGTGAAGGTATACCACCTGCTTGTGGATGCTGCCGTGTACAATGCCGATGCTCGCGCGAATTCATCAACGAGACGACATTTGGAAAGTGGCTGCGCCGGGCAACGCTCGCAGCCCCATAGCGTGCGGGTAGGGCCAAATCATTGAGGGCTGGAGCCGCAGTGGGTCTTCCGGGGGCCTCAACATGTACTTAAGTCACCGGAATAGTGACTTGAGTATTTAGGCTTCGAAGAGTTCGCGCGTGGATCTTTCAGCTCAGCTCTTGCAAGAACTTTTGCTCTATGTCATCGAGATGCGGAGCGGTAGCTGCAACGAATCCTTTTCTTTGAGGGGAGTTTCGAAAGGCTCCAGCCTGAATCGAAATCCTGGAAGACTTCGAGTTGGGCGTGCACACTTTGTCGATTCCCTAGGAATGGCCTCGCGCGGTGCAAATCATCGAGGAGCTCGTCGGCTATGGACTGACTCCTGGATGCAACCAGACGCGCCCGAATCCTCAGCTCTCACATTGCGGAAGGTCTTGCACGTAGTACGTAGTCTCAGAGTGTGTCTATCTATCTGTCCATTTGTCCATCTATCCGTCGGTATCTACATTTGTGAAGCATACCAGCCATCGAAGGCTGATAATGCAATTGCGGTCTCGAACATCGACCTAAATCTGCCTTCAGCCGAAAGCCACCCTGCCTAGTATCACCAAATACCCCTGAGCAATGTAAACTCACGCATGGCCCCTGAGAAAGGCCTGTGAACTATGCGAAGCATGCCCGTGCCCTCGCAGCACCATCTGGTTGTGAAGAGTCGAGACGGCTGGGGGGGCGGGTGGAGAGTTCGTGGGCTCAGGGTGGTCTTCCGGATCGTTGGGGGTTCATCCGCCGTAAAGAGCCGCAGTTAACCTCAGTCAAGCTTGAAGGCCTTATGGCCATGAACGACACACTTCTTAACTTCTGAATTGATTTAGATGGTTGAAGTTTTGAGTGACTAGGACTGATGGGTAGTCTCGAAGCTTCGAGAGGATGAGATGGATGCCCCGACTTGTATCGCGTGGCAGGCCTCGTGCTTCCCTTACGCTAGAAGGCCAGCGCGATATCCGGAAACGTAGATTGGACCACAAGCCTCTCTCTGACAAAGGGGTTACGTTCTTACTTTACTAGCTGTGCATCTTCATTCTGTCGTGTTGTGCATCCCGCCGAGGCCTCCTGGAAGACACCTTGCCCTCCACCAGAGCTGGACTTGCAATGAAAGGCACGGGAGGGGACCTAGGGCTTAGCAACATTGCACCCATCAAATGAGCGCAGGCTCCGTTTCACAAGTGCCTTTGCAGGTAGCAGTAGAAGTCTTCGGAGTAAATGCAGGCTTCGAGCAGTCAAGAGTGACGGGTGGTGTGGTCACCCATTTGGGTGTGGAGCCTCAGGTATACCCTGCCTCCTAGCTCTTGAGAGCTTCTTCAATCTGTAATGTGCATAGTTGCGTTAAGATGTATGTCTACATGAAACGTCAATCCAATGGGGGGCATGCTCTGGCGGTGACCGAAGCAGAGGCGTCTACAGTCGCGGCACGAACATGGACTGGGCAACCGCGGATGAGCGGCAGAAGGTCCTGAGACGGCCTGTTTTTGGCATGAACTCGGGCGGGAATGAAAGGCGTTAACAGGTTTAAAGGCGGGCTGCGGTTGATTTAGCCCGAAGCCGGCCATTGATGGCTGGTGATTCCTGGGCATTTTGCTCAGACTTGACAGGAACCCTGAATTCGCATTTACATTGTAGTCAAGACGGATCTGATAAGCAGTTTATGGGACTTCATGGTGGTCATGGCAGGGGGTCCTTGTTCTTGCCTCCCTGCGTTAAGTGTTTCGGACTACTGCACTCTATATTGATTTGTGTGTGCTGACTTCGTTCTTGGGGACGTTCAGGAAGTGAGGGGAAAGCATGCTCACAGACTCACAGGTACATTCTGTTCTGCTGCCGCCCTGCTGGTCAGGGGTGGGAATGACTCTGGAACTTGAAGTTTCGGGCCTATAGAATAGGCGAAGATGAGATTTCAGGTTGCAGAGAATGGTCGAGGCTATGATTGAAAGGCTTCGCACTAAACCACGACCTCGGACGGAACGCATTCCTACAGTTGTGGGTGCCCGATGCGGAACCAAATTAGCCCAAGTGCTAACCCCGAGTCCGCATCCAGCCACGGTGACTAAACCGCTACCCTAAGCCTTAAAAACTTGTTTGTGTTCCTAGCAGCCCTAGCAGCTGGGCCTCGGGTCGCCTTCGGGCTATGGACGCCCGCGCCACGGAGCTGTGGGCCCATGCGCCGGCGATCATCGCAAAGCTGGAAGCTGCCATCAAACAGTCATGGCCTCGGGGGTTCTACTGTAGTTGTGATTCTAGCTGCCTAGGGTCCTCCTCGCAGGCTCCCCCCTCTCCCCGGTTTTGCCGGCAAGTCCAGAGGATGGCAGCGCGTTTTTGCCGTTAGCCTTGCTTCGAGTCCTGCTCCAGCCTTGAGGAACTCGCCGGCCGCTCGGGAGGACGGCAAGTCCACGTCTACGTTGGATGGATTGGATTTTAAAGGTTTTGGTACGGTTCAGGGCCAGCCGACGCCCGAAGATGAAGAAAGCTTTCCTTGTTTATGAGATTGAGAGCCGCGGCCTGTTCATATCGAAATTGCAGTGAGTGCGCTTCCTGCCATGTTGCATCCCCCGAGCTTCTCATTTTATACAGGTCCTTTCCAGTTCTTTTGGCCAGCTGTTCATTCCTATCGTGGCTCATGTCATTGGCAGGAGCTGCTAGCGGTGCTTGGTATCGATGGCGGCCCGCTGACCGTGGAGGAAGTCCGGAGTTCCAATTGGGCTTTCGTTTGTCAAAGCCTTGGAGCTGAGACACTGCGTGCCCGAAGTTTACTACCCTTGCTCCCAGATGAGGCTGGACATAGTTGCCTCGTTTCCTGCGAGTCCAAGCTGAGACCTGAGACATGCGGAATGCAAGAAAGGATTCAAAGCCTGGCATCGAGGATTTCGAGTATGCCCTGCAGGCACTTGCTGTGAGGGACGCATGCTTATGTAAGAACCTTGCTGTTATGTTTTTTTCCACACCTTCTTGCCCAATGTGTGTTTGTCAACTCCCTCAACAGTAGGAGGGATCTGGCGCGGCCTCGGCCACCCTGAGCTCTTGGCCAACGCAGCTCAAACCCCTCGAAGCCATGCCGGCCCTGTGCGAGTGTGTGAGTCGAAACCGGGCAGACAGGCGGCGGTGCTAGATCGTCTGGAGCCACATGCAGATCCCGCCCAAGCCAAGGAGAGGGAGGCCAGTATACTGGGCAGTTGTTGTCATGTGATTTGTCTTGGCCGTGGCTCGCAGGAAGCACTCCAAAAGTCTGCTGCCGAATTCAGCATGATGCACAGTGACCTTATTCACGGTTGATGTTGATGCATCCCATCTACATCTTCACCCCTTCCCCCCCTTTCAACAGGCCTTCAAGCTTTCAGTGCAGCGAACTCCGCCCCGACCGCCGCTCCTTTCCTTCCGTGCTTCACTCTGCAGGCTCAAGTGCCTCGAGCGCTGGAGCTTGCTGCCGACGTCGTCGCAGCGCTGTTCGAGTACTCAGCAGCACCCGAGGTCTCCGCGGCGGAGACTGACAGGTGCACGCAACGCGCTATGACATCCATTCAAAAAGGTAGATGTCGAGTGCCCGACAGCTGTAGGGAGGGCAATGCGAGTCGGACTTGTCACCGGTGCACACGTTCAGTGTCTCCCTGTCGGCTTCTGGTCATGTTTGCGGCTTTACGAGATGACCTTATCCTGCGCTTCTTGATATGCACGGAAGTGCAGACTAAACAGGTGCAAGTCGTGGTGGATGATCTTTGTGCAGATCGCAGAGGAGACCACCAAGCTCGTATCCCTAGGGCGACCCGGACTTGAATCGACAATTTTGGGGCTCCACGTATGTTGCTTTCCCTGCACAGCCACAGACTAACAAAGCTCAGACAGCTATCATGCAGTCGTGGAGTTGCAATTAAATGGGCATGCGAGGTCGCCTGTTCGAAGACGGTTTCTGAGCGGCGCAGGCCCCATAGGCTCGGCGTCTTAGATCCGAGGCAGCTGGAGAAGCTGGTGGAGGTCTTTGAGCGCAGCCTCCTGAAGCTGCGCAAGGCCCCTGAACGGCTTTGCGCTGTTCCTCTAAGCCTGGCCGTAGAGAGTGACGAGAGCGCAGTGCATTTACCAAGACACCTCCATCTCGCAAAAGCAAATCTCTTTCATCGAGTGCATTGTGTAAGAAGTGCTGATCCCATGCTGACTGCTTGTATGCCGCTGCGACCACGGCTGCTACTCAAGACGACGAGGACCAACGCTGCGGCAGCATGATCGACGACGACGACAACCATTTGTGCAGATTCAAGCAGCAAAAACAACCTTAGAAATGAGTGTTCGAATCAGCAGGGGGCGCACAGAGCAACAATGGAGGTCGTAGATTCGTAGATGTAGCATACCCGCGAACTGGTGTGAAGATGTGTAAAGGGCACGTTATTCAAGTGGTCGTCTCCACCCAAAATCGCAAAGCCCACAATTCCCCATGCTTCCAGGCTTCGCTGGCTTTGGCGGCACAGCGCCTGAAGGAGTTCGATGCCAAGCAGGAGGCGATTCTTAGAGTTCAGGGTTTTGACCACAAGTCACATTTGGAATGGCGCCTCGGCTTCGAGGTTGAGGACTTTGGGAGTCTGTGGAATAGGCTCAGGGTTTATCTTTGTCTTGCAGACCACAAGCTGCATCAACATGGGTTCCCAGGCCACGTGCGTGCACAAATGGCTCGCCGCGTCCGATTGTTTGCAGCAGTTCCCCACGTCCTATTTACACAGGATGCGTCCGGCGAGCATGTCCCGCTGTGGTGCGGTGCATGTTATTTGTGGGAACTCGTGTGAGGCGTGCGCCCCGGAGCCTGGATTCGTCGTAAATGATACTACATGGACCACTTTTGGCCATCGAAATCCTGAATCTCAGCAGTACCTCAAACTTCTGAATCCCGCAAGCTAAGGGGGGAAGCATAAGTCTCGTGCTCCCGATGCTCGCCAGTACTTTGGGACTCCTTCGGGGAAGCAGTTTCGTGCTAGCGATTCCACTGTGCTCTCGAATGTTTCTGATTCCTGCCAGAAAGCATTGGGGGCGTGTTCTGTCTCCTGCTGGTCTCTTGATGCTTTGCTGTCTCTTAGCAGTCTCCTGGCGGTTCCCTGGTCGTGGTCGTGGTGCTCGTCGTGGGTGGTAACACGGCGTAAGTTCTAGAAAAACACAGATGGCCACCAGTTGCGATCTGTGTTTTTCAAGAAATTCAGGCCCGTTCGCATGTGACAGTGCTCGTGACTTTCTAGTTCTACTGGCATGCTTCTCGAAAAGATCTTTCACTGCTTGGGGATCTCCTCTAGCAGCTAGCATATTTTGTGAGCTCGTGCAGGTCTTGATTCTGATTTGGGATGGGAATGATGTGGTCATGTGCTACTGCTTCGGTGATTGCAGGTTGTTGGTTGTCGTTCCTGTCCTTACGCGGAAAGTTTTTGAGGCCTGACACCGCATTGTAGGCTTTGACCCGAAGCCTTGAACTTGGTTCATCTCGGCAGTGCGAGAGGCAAGCGGCTAATGTCGTGCTCTAAGCTGACTGGTAAACTATTGATGCTTCTATCGCTTGGGCTTGAGTACACAGCCATCCGGGGTACTCACCATGAAGTGCATATTTGGAAGCACGGCTGTGGCAAGAACGACGCAGCTGTGCTAACATGACCGGCAAGAGGAAGACAAGATTACAGGAAGCCCGCAAACTTGAAACGACCGTTGCAACAGAGTCTCAGTTTCCAGGGAAAACATGTCTTGAGCACTGTCATTAAGACAACCATTCATTTCGAGGCAGACATGAAGGCCGCCAAGGAAACTTCCGAGGAGAAAAAGTCCGAAGCCCGTGTGCTTCGGACCTGTCAGTTCACTGGGCTTTGCTGACTTGTGTGATTGTCCGGGCCTGCAGAGTTTAGTGGGCTTTTGGGGCTTTGCCTTGAGCGGAGCGGCCTTGTTGGAACGGGCTCATACGCTAGCTGGACCGACATACAGTCTGTCGGCAGAAAGTGCGGGTCTTGCTGCCGCAAAAAGTACCGCGATTTTCTTCCGGACTGGACCGGGCAGCGGCTGAAACTGAGGCAGCCAAAGAGGCGAAAGAGCGTGAAACCAAGCGATTGGATGAGCGAGTCTTGACCTTGAATTGGCTGTGCGTTCTGTGTTTGGCAGTCGCAGAACATGATGAACTCTTGCCGGATTGCGTGTGCCGCGTCTAGAGTCCAAAGCAGCCAGGCCAGTAAAATGCCTGAATGCCCTTTCGAGGCCCGCCAAAGCTTGGGGGCAATCCTGAGGCCCACCTGCTCAATCTCCTCTCCCAAAAGAGAGCATAGCCAGCCTCCCACTCCTAAACCGAATCCCACCAAGCTCTCAAACTCGAGGAAAAAAGCTTATCTCCCAGCTCGGGGTGTCTCCGAACGGCCACGTCTTCCTGTCACTGCGGCAAATAGAGTTGAGGGGTCTTCATGGAGGGCAATTGGAGGGGTTGAGGTCTGGGGTGGTCTGGGGTGCATGATGGTGCATGTTTCGTCTTTTCTAGTCGCTGTTGGGGCCGGGAATTGCAGGTTTTGGGTTTCGGTTTCACCGTCGATATGGGAACCATAATTCCATGGTCATTCTCGTCATCACTCATACTTTGATCGTCATAATCCGCCCTTTTGTCACGCACCTCATCCTTCCGGGTTTGACCGTGTCGACACAGAACGCGGGATTGAGGGGAGAACAGCTTTTCCTTGCTTCTGGTTGAAAGCAGCCGGCTAGGAATAGCTGCCAGCTGAGGACGATGACCTCGCTGTTGAAACAGCTGAGCTCGCGTCTTGTAGGCTGGTGCCGGGAATGGGCCGTAAATTTCAGCGATCTTTTGTTGAGGGCTCTTCCATGGCGGAGTGCAAAAAACGGTAGCAGCCGCTACGGTATTCCAACCAAAGCTGTGATTTTGGGGTAGATCGAAGAATCCACATGCAGGTCACTGCAGAAACGCCTGCCCGAAACAACCTGCACCCGGACCAAGGACGAAATTTACAAATTGTTATGACGCCCGTCAAAACGTTATCACTCTGCATCTGTATGCATGAAGGTCTCTTGACATGTGTATGTTTGCAACGTAGCCCGAAGCTGCAGTATGAGATTTCACTACAACAGTGACCGAGGGCTTTGACTTTGGTATGGTCCCTCGACATGTTATAAGGGGTATATACAGGATATACATATGCATATGAGTATGTGTGCACATGTCTTGTCAGATACGGAGACACAGACAGAGTTTTCAGGACATGGGGTGTTTGTGGTTCGGGTTGAACCCGAAGGGTCCATGTACCCAAATAGGAGATACTTTGGCCTTAAAGTCGTCTCTGTTTGGGTACTTTGGGGCCAAAGCATCTATTAGTTGGGTACATGGGGGTTTCCGAAAATAGGGGACCCTAATATAGTACCCTAAATAGTAGGATCCATATTATAAGGACCCCCAATAAGGTACCCCCTATTTTCGGAAACTCCCACATGGACCCTTAGGGGAAGCGATCAGGCTCTTTCAACTGCCGGCTCCGAGCCCGGATTTCCCTGCTCCTGGAGCGGCTGTTAGCTCTGGATCACAAGGTCGCGGGGGGGTTTGTTTGGAGGGGAGTGGGGCGGGGCGGCGAAGAGTGGAGGATTCAATGTGAAGAAGTTCCAAAGATTCGAAAGGGGTAGGCCGTTTCAGGGTTGAGGGCGTCAGCATCCAGAGCTTTGCAAAGTTGTCGAAGAGCCCTGTCAGCTTTCCCGGACTCAGGCAGGCAGGCGGGATGTTGTGGTCTAGAGGTGTTGGAATCAGGGATTGGGGAATACAGAGGCTTTGGTATTTGGGGTGTTGCCAGTCGTTTTTGTGCTGCGGCTTAACGGTCAGCTGGGAAAGCAGGTAGACCATTTGTGATGGTCTAAGGCTGACAAGATTTAGAGCGCAGGTTTGGCTCCGGTTCAAGGCCTATCGTACTGTGCCGAGGGAAGTAGCCTTTGTGTGCTTTGATCAGTCTTGCATCTAAGATTCTGTCTCAGATATTGACCCCCCTTGTCCACGCAAGTCTGCCAGCCTCTAACCTGGATTTATGTATTGTAATCTGTTGCCGGTTGCTGTGCCTCCGGTCACAAGCTGTCAGATCGATTTTGCGGAAGAAAAGCTAGATTCTTTGCTTTGTCCGACAGGCCATTGCTAACAATCAGACGCTTTGCTGAATCCGATGCGCGCATCTTGTCATTGGTTCCATCGTATCTGCGGGCTTCACACCTCCAGCTGAGATTGCTGCTAGGTGGGTCGGAGACGAAAACGTGGCTTCAGTCAGAAGTTTTAGGTAAGTTCTACGTGGTGGAGCTTGCTCAGCAGCGGCGTTGTCTTGCAGAATCTGTGTGTTTCGATGAGCGCTAGGAGCTGATAGCGTCGTGGGAGGAGCAGAACCTGCCTTGCAACACAACATGCGCTGTGCTTGCAAACTACACCTGTCGAGGAAGACTCGAGCTCAGGACTTTGCCCCTCCGACAGCACTTTTTTCGGGGTTGCGGGCTATTGCCACTCAGTTCGGAACAAGAACATAGAGCAGTCACTCAGCCTGTTGAGGAAATCCTGGCCAAGCCCAAGTTCGCACACTTCAACTATGAGCATCCAAACCTGCAAACCTGACACACAGATGCATAGCGGAATAACACGGACGCCTACCACCGGATTGCGTATGCTTCACCCCTGGAATTACAACCGAACTGAAAGTATGATAAGCTCGAGCAACTCATCAGCCAATCTGCTGAGTACACTGTGGACGACTTGGACATCGACGTGAAGGCTGGCTCTGGTGCCGGTTCTTACTGATGAGTGTGGTAAGTGTTTGGCCGCTACGCCTGCACACGCCCACGCGCCTGGAAAGTCCTGTGTCGAACACGCAGCAAAGGGTGAGCATTTTCGGACACAATCTGAAGTGCTTCTGGCAGGCTCTTCCATACTCTCTGGATGTTAGCGAAGCCAGCTCGGTGCCGGAGGCGGGCCTGCAATGACAGGACTCGCGCAAGGTAGGCCCGCAGAAGGAAAGGAAGCATTGAAGAGCAGTGTAAACATCGGGTCCTGGGGGCGTAAAAACCCAGAGGCTGACGACGAGTAGTGAGCAATCGTCGTCACATGCTTTTGCAGGGTCATTGCTCAGTCGGCATATTCTGGACGGAAGCCAGGATTACAGCTCTGCCCCGAAGGAAGCTCCACCACCTAGGACCTAGACGTAAACTGATGTTGCAATATGCTAGAAGACGCGACACTATGAATCAGACGGAGTGAATAGGGCAGTGTGGAGGCTTGAGCTTCAGATTGACGTACCCCTCGTTGCAGCTGGTCACCAGAAGACGATGTACTGTAGCAGCAGCCCCCGCTCTCTGCAGCCGAGCCCGCCGAGGTGGTGCCGGCGCCGGCAGAGAAGGAGGTCCTTCGAACATGCTAGGATGGAAGTTGACATGCTCGACGCTTCTCTCGTTCGTCTACTGCCTTTGCATCTCCCCATTTAGCCCAGAACGTGCTTGAATGGCCGGGAGGTTGTAATCCATCAGCATAGAGTACGTCAGTAAATTGTTGCCAGTGTTGCGCTCGCTGGAAAACAACAGGCTTTGTCGACAATATGATATCAAAAGCCGCAAGTGACATTACAAAGTATGCAAGTAGCATACGCCCCCAGACAACTTAGCCCGCAGACCCACACTGACCGTCGGTCATGACATCCCTGGCACTGCAGTCGGATCAGACGAAGTCGGAACCGGCTCCTGCAGAAGCTGCAGCTGAGGCTGGGACTGAGGTTGTTTGCGGTGCTCTGCCTTGTAGTTGTCTTCACGTTCATCTGAATTGAAATTCTAAGCCCTTAGCGCATGTTGGCCCCCAGACACCTTCACAACTCAAGCCCCTGAAGCCTCTAGATGAGCAAGACCTCGTTATCTGGCTTAGGTTACTCTGATACCGACATAGCACCCCTTCACTCGTGCAGCCAAGGTCTCGTTTCCAAGTTGTGAACCCCTACTCGTATTGAAATGGGACACCGCAGCTTCAAAATCTGCACGGAAGCTCGACTGACCTGTAGACTCTGGCCCAGGCCGGGACGAACGGCAACAGTCCTGCCGAGGCTTGGGGCGAATGATTTCTACCGCTTGATATGATTCTTTGCTGGGGTTTTGCTTGTTTACGGCCGCTGACTACTGAATGCGAAGGATCTTCAATGAACAGGCACTCTGTGACACCGACATTTTTGGCTGCTTTTACCAGCGATGCTCTCATGACACCGTCCCCTCATTATCCCCATGTAAACCGTGGAAATATTGGTAGAGGTGGGCATCCGAACCAGAATACCTCAAACCCCATTCTTGGGATCTTTTGGGCTGAAGCTGGTGAGGGCTGAAGCCAGTGCATTCAACTGTTGTCAGGCTTCCCACCTCCAGATTCAAAAAGTTGCTCACGGGTTCCGTTCTCGCGATGTCACGCTAAGCTGTCAGTGGAGGCATCGCACTTCCAGCAGCTTTGCCGGTGTTTTCCCCATCTCCGTAGACAAGAACGGTGTGTAGTTTGATCTAGCCAGAGTTGGTTTGGTTTTGTGTCACCGGCAATTGCTAATGAACAGACCCGTTGGAGCCTGTGCATAGCCTTGTAACTTGTATCCTGCAGCAGGAGAAGTTCAGCAGTTTGGGCCATGACCCGAACCTTGGGTACAACGACTACACAGGCTGCGCCACCACCACGTCGACTACACTACTTCTGCTACTACCACTACTACTACGGCTACTACTNNACTACTATACTACTACTACTGCTACTCCTACTCCTACTCCTACTCCTACTCCTACTACTACTACTACTACTACTACTACTACAACTACTACTACTTCTCCCACTCCTACTCGTGCTCGTACTCGTACTCGCTGCTCCTGCTTTGCTGCTGCTGCTGCTGCTGCTGCTGCTGCTGCCACACTGCTACCACTACTACGACGACTTCGAGTACCACCACCACTGCTAAAAGCTGCTGCTTCTACTGCCCCTGTTGCTGCTTCTGCTGCAACGACAACTACATGGATTCGACTAGTACTGCATCCCAGTGTTTTCTGTCTATTGTTACTGATTGGTAGATTGTGGAAAACTTGCTAGCTGAAGCGAGCTCTTCCAAGATACCTCCTGGCTGCTAGCATGGACTAGTTTCTCCTCGTCTCTGAATTCAATGTTCGAAGCTAGATGTTACTACTACCATTCTGCGATTTTTTTGCTTGGTGGCCCTTCTATTTGTTAATTGCCAAGGTTTGCTAGCTTGGTTTGTGCTAGTGGTGTAGCAGTGTCTTCTTATCTAATTGTGCCAATCAATCTTGGGATTGACATGTTGCGGGCCGTTCGAATCGCGTATGCAAAGTCTTCATGCGTTTAGCCATGCCTTTGCGTGCTTCGGCTCGCCAGGTTTCTGGGCTTTGCAGGAGTCGCTTCAAGTTGCTGAGAAGCCGCTCGCATGAGAGTTTGGCATCGGAGGGATTGAAGATGAGAGGATGAAGTAGGTGTTGCTCGGACATTGCCAGTGGCTGTACCAACAAAATCTTGAATGGCTTGCAGGCCTTTCAAACTTGGCATCCTGTCTTTGCCGGCAGCACCGGCCTCCTAGAGTCTTTAGGACGTCTCCTTCGTGGAAGCTCGAATCCCCAAGCGCTGCATTCAGACTCGTTTTTATAACCCCGGATTCTCAAAGATGCGGTGTCAGAATTCAGATTTAAGAGCCTGTGCTTGCAAGCTCACGCTGTTCGCTCCCTCCGGTTGGCATTACCGCGCATTAAGACCAAGCTCACCCCGCCCTAGTTTCACCATTCTGGTATTGTAAACTGACCAGGCCTCCCTTGAGTCGCGAAGGGCCCTCGTCAAAAAAGGCACACTTTACGCATCCCGAGGCTCTTCGAGAAGCCCGAGAACTGGAAGCACTTCCACGAGCCCTGGCCCGTCCTGGCTCAGGGGATCGCGTCTGTGAGGTTGACCCATCGAAGCGGCATCGTCATGTCTTCTCATGTCTTCCTGCTGATGAAAAGTGCTTCCTCCCATTCGATTTAGCTGGTGGCAGGTTTGGTTGGATTTTGCAGGAAGTTCTTTGCGGACGCTGCGACGTTTTGTTGGACCTGTAGACACTGTCGAGTTTACTGCTGCATTCCTGCTACAAGGGCTGCGAGTACAGGAAGCCATCAGCTCATTAGCACTGTTCAGTGACAATTGAGAAGAGAGTTCTGCCAAGTAGTCCGGTGCTTTGGGATTTCGGTAGCAGCAGGAGCTGCGCTGCAGGCTTCTGGCCAAAAGCAGTGATGGCACCCGGAACAACTTTCGACATCCGAAACCCTGAACATGGCGGAAAAGAGCCCGAAACAACAAGCAAAATCTGAGGCGCAGATTCTGAATCTTTGAGTTGGGTAGTTTGAACTGGAAGATCTTCGTCTGAGGGTAGTTTTCTGCACAAAGTAAGCATAGGTTCTCGGTCTTCAGTCTGGTGGGCGAGGTCGGATGACTAGGTTTTTGTTTGGGCTACTGGATTGTAAAGACGGTGTTAAGACGGTGAGTACATGTTGTGGATGTATGAACACATGTGTTTTTTCGTTTTTTCGCCTAGTCTGGGCTTGCCACGGCCTTTCTATGGAAGAGCTCGTTCGGACCTCCAGCTGTTTCCTTGAAGGGGTCTCCCCCCTTGGTCTGGTACCCAGGGGGCGATGACGAAGTTGCTGAAGCAGTTCGAGATGCCTGGCTCAGATCCCGAAAGCATCCAGGGTTAGGTTCGGATGAGGCACGTGTAGGGTTTACCTCACAGCCCGTCGACGCGTACGGGTTTCTTCTTGGTGGTGGTTTGCCTCACATGTCCAGCCCAGCTGAATGAAAATTCCTTTGCGGTGCCCTGGCTCTGTTGGGCATGTGTTCCCCCTTTGGTATTGAGTGCTAAATCCTGGAGGCACAAGGCTCAAAGTTTCAGTGTCAATCCTCCGCCTAATCCGGACTCATCTCCCGCAGCATGAGCAACAGTAAAGTCTGAGAACAGGCTGCAGTATGATGAAAAGTGACACTGATAGTCACGATGACAGTCTGCACGGGCAATGCTAGCAGCTAGTTCTCAGGTGCTGAAAGCAAGAACGGCAAGCTCTCGCCTTGCCCAAGATCAGGAAGTATCCGACCTCGGCAGAGCAGCGAGAGCCCTGGACACCGCCTGAGGCGGCCCCGCAGCGGCAGGCGGGAAGGGCGGGAGTTGGCCTCGTTGTTTCTTTCGATGAAGGTCTTGAGGCTTTCGATGTCTCTACGCTTCGCTTATGCCTCTGAGCTCATGTGCTCTCGGCGCCGGTTAACGATCTCAGAGCACTTGAGAACACTGTGCAACGCTCGGCAGGTCGCTCGTGCCCGAGCATTCCGAGTGTCTTGCATGCATGTGAGGCGTGGCCCACCAAAGTCAGGCAGCGTTTCTTGACAGTGTGAGATATCACCAGTTCCTCGATGCTTCGTGACATGCCCGTTGTAAGTGGTTCAGTCGCAACGGTGCGGACGGTGGTGATGACTGCAAGCATGAGCTCTTTATCATTTTTAGGAACGACTGAGTATCACAATAGCCGACACTGGCCTGCGATGTGGGGGCCAATGCTAATTACCATTATCGTCATGACGATCACCCTCATCATCACCCCTATAGTGGTTGGGGTTCTGGCGGGTGAAACCTGCGAAACAAGATGGTCTTGTGCCCCGGCGACATTACCAGCATAAGCAGCATCACCCAATCCGCCCAGCATCGCCACCGTCCTTACCATCACCGGCGTTGTCGTCAGAAGCGTGGCCAACGCAAAAAGATCTGGCTTGTTACAGTACCTACAATTTTAGTACCAACATGACCAGATTGTGGATGCAAAGGTGCAGATGGACGACCCACAACTCCGGATACAATTCCTGACGCAGGCCTCAGCAGTACACTTTCCGGGATACAGGTGATTGAAAGCGTGGAACACATTCGTACTCTTGCCTT